ATTTGCTAATAGGTTATAGCAAATAAAAAAGGGCCAAAACTCGTGGATTATATCTTACGAAATCATAAATTTTAGGCTCTACAAATTATTTGCTAATGGGTCTGAAATGAATGACTGAAATCAAAAAAAGTCATGGGTTATAGGTTATAAAATCATAAATTTTAAACTTTGTTAAATTATTTATCAATGGGTAGAAATAACTAAAAATAGTCAAAAACCATGGGTCATAGCTCACGAAATTGTGATATTTAGTCACTGTGAAATTATTGCCTATGGGTCGAAGTGAATAAAAATTGGCAAAATTTGTGGGTTTTATCTCATATAATTGTGAATTTTGGACTCCATAAAATTATTTGCCAATAGGTTTGAGCGACTAAATTTTTTCCCAAATCGTGGGTTATAGCTCAGGAAATTATGATATTCGAACCCTACAAAATTATTCATCATATGGTCAAAATGAAATCATGAATTTTACCTACCGTGAAATTATTTGCCAATGGGTCGTAGCAAGTAAAAATGACCAATAATCATGGATTACAGGTCATAAACATATAAAATTTGGACTTCATAAAATTATTTATTGAAGAGTCAAAATGACAAAATATATCCAGAAAAACATGGGTTATAACTCATAAAATTATTAATATTGGACTCTATAAAAGTATATGCCAATGGATGGAAACAACTAAAATGGCCAAAAATTGTGGGTTACAACTAACAAATCGTGAATTTTCCTCTCTGCGAAATTATTTGCCAAAAGATGAAATGGATAAGAATGGCCAAAATTTGTGGGTTATAGCTCATTTAATCATGAATTTTAGATTCTAAAAAATTTTCGCCGATGCGTTTGAACAACAAAAAAATATTAAAAATCACGGGTTATAGCTCATGAAATCATGAATTTTTTACTCCGCAAAATTATTTATAAATGGGTTGAAAAGATTTAAAATGGCCAAAAATTTGCATTATAGCTCATAAAATAGTGAATTATTTTCACCATGAAATTATTTGCCTACAGGTCGGAACGTATACAAATGGCCAAAAATCATGAGTTATAAGTGATGAAATAATAATTTTTGACTTCGTGAAATAATTTATTAATGGGTTGAAATGAATAAGAATAGTCATATTTGGGTTATATATAGCTCATGAAATCATGAATTTTGGTCTCTGCCGAATTATTTAGCAATATGTAGATATGTCAAAAAATGACCGAAAAACATAGGTTATAGCTCATAAAATCAAGAATTTTAGACTCTGCAAAATTATTTGCCAAAAGATCAAAATGACTAAAAACGATCAAAAATCTTGGGTTATAGTTCATGAAATCATAGATATTAGACTCCAAAAAATTATTTGTCAATGAGTCAGAACGAATAAAAAAGACCAAAAATCGTGAGTTATAGATAATGAAATCATGAATTTTAGCCTCCACAAATTATTTGTTAATGGATATAAACAACTAAAATTTACAGGAAAATCATGGATTTTAGCTCATGAAATCATAAATTTCAAACTCTATAAAAGTATTTATCAATGGGTAGAAATAACTAAAATGGCCAAAATTAGTAGGTTATAATTCATGAAATTATGAATTTCGGACTCCATAAACTTATTGACCAATGGGTCATAATGAATGGAAACTATTAAAAATCATGGATTATAACTCATGAAATCATTAATTTTGGACTCCATAAAATTATTTGTCAATGGATCAAAATGACTAAAAAATGGCAAAAAATCATGGATTATAGTTCATGAAGTCGTGAATTTTGTCTTCAATTGCCAATGGGTCAAATTGAATAAAATTTGCCAAAATTCATGGATTATAGCTCTTAAAATCATAAATTTTGGATTCTACAAAATTATTGTCAAGGGGTCTGAACGACTAAATTTTTTTAAAAATCGTGGGTTATAGTTTAAGAAATCATGAATTTTAGATTCTACAAAATTATTCACTATAGGATCGAACTGAAATCGTGAATTTTACCCACTGTGAAATTATTTGCCACTAGGTCCCTGTTAGTAAAAATGACCAATAATCATGAGTTATAGCTCTTAAACATGTGAATTTGTGAATCCATGAAATTATTTGTTGAAGGGTCGAAATGACTAAAAATGGCTAAAACATGGGTTATAGCTCATGAAATTATTAATGTTGGACTCCACAAAATTACATGTTGGATGGAATAAAATTGTTAAAAAACGTGGGTTATAGCTCACGAAATCGTGAATTTTCATCTCTTAAAAAATTATTTCGCAATGGGTGAAACGAATAAAAATGGCCAAAATTCATGGGTTATAGCTCATGAAATCATGAATTTTAGATATCGTAAAATTTTACCAATGGGTTTGAACAATAAAAAATTACCAAAAATCATGGGTTATGGCTCATGATACTGTGAATTTTTTTACTCCATAAAATTATTTATCAATGGGTTGAAAGGACTAAAAATTACCAAAAATCTTACGTTACAGCCCATGAAAAAGTGAATTTTTACCGTCAAGAAATTATTTACTTGTGGGTTGAAACATGTAAAAATGACCAAAGGTCATGAGTTATAGTTCATGAAATCGCAATTTTTTGACTTCGTGAAATAATTTGCTAATTGATTGAAATGAAAAAGAATGGCCAAAATTTATGTTATAGCTCATGAAATTGTGAATTTTAGCCTTCGCAGAATTATTTACCAATGAGTAGATATGTCTAAAAATGACCAAAAATCATGGGTTATAGCTCATGAAATCGAGAATTTTGGACCATATGACATTGTTTGCCAAAGGATCGAAATGAATAAAAATAACCAAAAGTCATGAGTTATAGCTCATGAGATCATGAATTCTAGACTCTACGAAATTATTTGCACTTGGAACGACTATATTTTACCAAAAATCGTGGGATATATATCATGAATAAGTGAATTTTGGACTTCACAAGTCCATTGTCGAAACGATTAAAAATGGTCAAAAATCATGGGATATAGCTTATTAAATCGTGAATTTTGGTTAAAAATAACCAAAAATCATGGGTTTAGCTCATCAAATCGTGAAGTTTCGGCTTCACAAATTTATTTACCAATGGGTCGTTTTGATTATAAATTGCCAAAAAATATGGATTATAGCTCATGTACATGCGATTTGGACTCTGCAAAATTATTTGCCAAATAGTCAAAATGACTAAAAATTGCCAAAAAACAAGAGTTATAGATCATCAAATAGTGAATTTTGGCCTCCATGAAATTAGTAACTCTTTTTTTGAACGACAGCTCCAAAATGACCAAATTTTGTAGGTTATAACTCATGAAATCATGAAATTTGGACGCCATAAAACTTGTACCAATGGATTTGAATGACAAAATTTTTTCTGCCAATCAGTGGAAGAAAATCTTTGTCACCTCCGTCCTTCGATGCTAGGACTTCACGAGTTTAGCCTAACAAAAAATCCACCACCACCATCAACGACAGAGAAGAATCTATATCACCTCCGTACTTTTTATGTGTTCACTCTTTCAAAGCTCAGCGAGAGGGGAAATGAAGAAACTTTTAGGCGGGATTTTGTTTGTGTATAGTTAATTCGCCCCTCACCCAAAAAAGTAAATAAATAAATAAATCACTGCCACATATAATTTAAGAAAGCAACTTAAGCGTCACGAGGGCACATTTAGAGAATTTTGGCTAGAAATTTTCTTGGTCACTTTATCACATCGTGCAAGTTTTAATACCTTATCATCATCAGAATTACTTTTAATACCAATCTGATTATTAGATGCTATTTTTAATACCAATTTGGTAATTTGGTCATAAGTTTTGTAGTTGATGGTTTAGCTTATGAAAATCTATAATCCGAGACCAAAAGTGTTAATTAATTGAATGTAAATGGAACAGTGAGAGTATATAGAGTAGCCGAATTTGAAAATTTGTAAATATACTGCTTGTTTTGCGACTATATAATTAAGAAAGTTAAACGGACTTTCGTTTTGTAGAAAAAACTCGCAACAAATGCAACGTTCAAATTGGGGAGAAGAAAAAAAAATGCAGGCTCCAAAAGAAAGAAAAATCGAAAGATAAAAATGTGCACCTCATCAAAAAGATCTTTTAAAATCTAAATAGAAAATCAACTATATCCAAGTTTTCTTATATGGCAAGATTAGCTTTTGCACTAATTGTTTCTAAACCCAAACAGTGAATTTGCATTCAGAAATATATTTCCTGGATAAAGATTTTAAAGTTGATTTCTAGCTTATCATTGCAGCAAACCAAACAGCCCAATGTGGTGGGGTAAAACAATTGTCAAGTACTCACTCCTGTAATTACTCATCCAAATTCGATTCATAAGACTATTTGAAAAAAATTCGAATAGCATCTCTCCCCACTTTCTCCACGCTCTTTATCACTTGTCTTTTTTATTTAAACTTTTATGAAGAGATTCGTTAAGATATTGAACAATTTTTCACTTCTGCCCCATTCCAATTTTTTATTATTGAAATCGACTTTTTTTTTTTATTTATCAAAACCGACCCGATTTCGTGATTAGCAACGTAATCACTTTCCTAATTAGTCGAGGTTACCAACCTCGACTATTTAGGACATTAATTTTTAGAGTTTAAGACTTCTAATTAGGGTTTAACACCCTCCTAAATAGTCGGGGTTACCAACCCCGACTAATTAGGAAGGTGATTAAATTGCTAATTAAAAAATCAGGTTGGTTTTGGTAAATAAAAAAAAAGGCCGATTTCAATAATAATAAAATTAAATGGGGCTGAAGTGAAAATTTGTTCTTAAGATATTATTTGGTTCCGGTTCCCAAAGAAAAATAAGCCAGCAACACACAAAAAAACCCACACAAATTTGATATCACCAATAACCGAAAACCCAGTGATTCCCAAAAAAGCTTATAAACAAATTAAGCTCTGGACATCACAGGGATCAACACCAATGAGATAAGGGTCCATGAAAGTCAATTCACAGCAAACAAACAAGATATCATCAACTAACACACCTTTGCAAATGCTGATTTAGATACCAATTCCATGTGAGAAATTCATAAATCTTAATCAATACTAATTAATCCGCAGGTACACAAACAAAACAAAACAGAAAAATGACTAGCTTAATGCAAAAGAAGATAACAAGAGCATAAAAAGGCTCAAAATGCAAGCGCTATGGATTGTTCGACATGTTTGCCTAATAACTCTTGATGATTTCTCCAAAAAGCAGAACAAAAGAGCACTTAGTCAAACAAACTGAATCCCATGTCCTGCAAAAAAAAACGCAAAAAGAATGAATTAGTAGAACCAGAGGAGCGAAAATGAAATGAATGGAGTTTTTAGGTGAATTTTTACATCATCGGATTCTTCCTTCTCTTCGACTTTCTCTTCCTTCTTGGTCTCAGCAGCTGCAGCTGGTGCAGCGCCACCAGCAGCGGGTGCCGACACGGCCATGGCAGCACCACCACCGGATGGAACTGAGGCGAACTTCTCCCTTCCGGAGGCAATGAGCTCGGTTATGTCCTTGCCCTTGACTTCAGATAGTAGGAGTTCAATTCTGTCATCCTCGGCTTCAGCCCCAACTACAGGATAAAAGCCACGATCAATAATTGATTTGTTCGATTAGTTGCATTTGATTGGGTACAGTTGGCTAACAGATGTACACGACTCAAAATTCAAGTGGCAAAAACTGGTTTGCTGAAATGAATAGTTTGGAGCTGCAAATCAAACTAAACAACGAATTGGCTTGCCAAAACTACACTAAATAGGCAGAACATAGTTAGAAATAAAACGCTAGTCTCATCTTCATGGTGTATGGCTAGATTTGAAGAGTGTCCAAATATCATGCATCATCGCTGCCGTAATGAGATTGCTAGTACTCTATTTTAACCCTCACTTATCTTCAAAATTTTCACCCTTATGCTACGTATCATCTCACCGAATCAATGCTTATGGCTAGATTTGAAGAGTGTCCAAATATCATGCATCATCGCTACCGTAATGAGATTGCTAATACTCTATTTTAACCCTCACTTATCTTCAAAATTTTCACTCTTATGCTACGTATCATCTCACCGGATCAATGCTTATGGCTAGATTTGAAGAGTGTCCAAATATCATGCATCATCGCTGCAGTAATGAGATTGCTAATACTCTATTTTAACCCTCACTTATCTTCCAAAATTTCACTCCTATGATACGTATCATCTCACCGAATCAATGTTTATTGGTATCAGATTTTTGTACTAGCTTCGATATCACAACACCTACTTTCTATTTATTCTGATCCTTAAAAATCAAAAACAATCTAGACGGAATTTTTCTTTCGAATATCCCCCTCGCATAGCTTATGTGACACTTCTCCACTATTTTCTCACTTCCACTACCTAGATTCAACAACATTGGCATGATCCCTTCCCATATCTCTGTAAAGGTAATCTGAAGCCTATATTGTTTCTAAGTGTGCATATTTTCTATAAAAAAATACTTTATTGTCCTCGGAGATGAACGCAAACCCCTATCACAAAATTTCTAATTAACCATTTCACTTATTTCCTATAGTTGTCTTGGTAATGAGCTTAAAATAAATAAATGAGCGGCCATGACTCGCAAAAAAAATACATTTTGGATTAAAAACATCAAAAAAGATGACAAGGTTTCATCTTGCAACAAAAGAACGCGTCTTTTTGATGTAATATCACTGCAAGGGCAAAAGGAAACCGAACCTGAGCCCAAGATTTCCTTGACATCTTCAGCAGAGGGAGTGGTGTTCCCGCCCAAAACAGCGAGCAAGTAAGCGGCGACAACCTTCATTTCTGCACAAATTACGCAAATAACCGCACGAATTACCTCCCGAAGTGATTTAAGACCACAAAAAAATTAGAGAAATTAGAGGATTAAGGAGAGATTTAGGGGGTAAATTACTCGAGAAATGGGGAGGAGCGATGGAGAGCTCGGCCGCCTGATCTAGGGTTTACGAGACGAGTGGGAGAAGCTGCGGTTAGAAATGACCAGTATTTATATTGGGTCACGAGGCGTTGGGAATCAATCTGAGCCGTTCGTTGATGATCCAAAGGAGACTGATATGTGCTGGGCGTTTCCCACGGAAACCCTCTTGATCTCTTCTTATTTTCGATGAAACCCCTGAATTTTGGGGGCGTCGCACATGTTCCCCTCTAATAAACTGGGACTTGTAAGCCGAGAAAGAATCCGGACTGACGGTCCATGGCATTAAATGTGCATCCAAAATGATATCAACTATTGGATGGATATAAGAATCTCAAAAGCTAATGATCCGCAGGCTAATATTTATTGGTGCCGTTTAATGCCATAAAACTAGGGGTGAGCATGGTTCGGTTCAAACCAAACAAACCGGTCAAACCGGCCGAATTTTGATAGTTCGGTACGGTTTTTACTAGAGTTCAGTTTGGATTGGGTTAAAGTTTTTTTCAACCCGAATCGACCAAACCGACCGAATTGCATTACCCGCTCTAATAACTATTAGCATCCGCTTAAATCCGACCCATTATATTTCATATAGAGTTGTTTCGCTGCACATTGATATATATTTTTCTCTCACGCGACTTGATAGCGATAGAATACTCCAATAATGGTGTCCTCTCCAATTCTATGGCTACTCATTATCTCTAGTTTTCTACCCCTCTATTATCTGTTCGCTGCTTCTACTTTTGACCAATCCACTTTGGAGGTGAGAAGCTTAAAACATAATGTTGGGGTATTTTACTAGAGTTCGGGTTGGATTGGGTTGAAGTTTTTTTTCAATCCGAACCGACCGAACTGTATTACCCGTTCTAATTACTATTTGCATCAGCTTAAATCCGACTCATTATATTTCATATAGAGTTATTTCGTTGCACCTTAATATATTTTTCTCTCACACGACCTGATAGCGATAAAATACCCCAACAATGGTGTCCTCTCAAATTCTAGTGCTATTCATTATCTCTAGTTTTCTACTCCTCTCTATTACCTATTCGTTTCTTCTACTTTTGACCAATCCACTTTGGATGTGAGAAACTTAAACCATAATGTTGATTCTAACATTTTCTTGAATTTTCTCCTCGATTGATACAGTTTTGGATCAGATTTCTCTTTGGATTATACTTATAATTTTATAAAAACTATACACAACATCCAAATTATTACGTATTTTTTATTTACTTTGTCTATCAAATTGAGATCACTTTAATTCTATACATAAGCTTTCTCTAAAAAAAATCATGTAAGCTTTGGTAGATATAAGATTTTGATTTCTACATCTAATATTCAATAGCATTTGATAGTTTATTAGTTTTAATAAATTAAAGTGTAAAGAGACTTATTTCTTCGTCAACAGATTAGAAGTGAAAATTGAATTTGGATATAACATTTTTTACCAGAGTGAAAACCGAATAAACCGACCCGAACCTAACCGAATGAACTTGAATCTATTCGGTTCGGTTATAAATGATAGGCAGTTCGGTTCGGTTTGGCCAAATTTGATCAAAAACCGAACCGACTGAACGATTGCACAACCCTACATAAAACTGAGTGCACTTAATACTTTTCCCTCTAAACTTTCAAACTTTGTTAAGAGACACCCCCAACATTGTTAATGGATCAACATGCTGCACAGTATTAACACCGTTAATTAATAGCGTGGTCACATGAAGCAAGACATTTTTTGTTCCATAATTATTCTAGTGTGTCACTGAACCGGATCGAAAATAATTTCGCTTGCAGAATTTTTTGGCTAATAAGCAATGAAATACTCTCAATTTCGTGACTTTGCAAAAAGAAACACTAGAGACACACCATTGGACACAATCCCAACCACACCCCCTCATCTGCTACAGTGCAGGGGCCCCACATGGGATTTTTTAAAAATCCCATGTGGGGCCCCCTGCACTGTAGCAGATGAGGGGGTGTGGTTGGGATTGTGTCCAATGGTGTGCCTCTAGTGCCAAATATGTACTGCCATAGATACTAACATTAACATAGGCAAAACTTTACCAAATTGCTTAATGACATGACTACGATTAAATGAGTTAGGGGATTATAAATGCGGGTCTCAACCGGCCTAACTTTACCAAATTGCCCCATTTCTGATATATATTTTTTTCAAACTCACCAAAGAGAGAAGGAGATCAGTGGCAAATTTTTTGATTGGTAGTAATATCTCTCAAGAAAGAACATGGGTTGGGGGAGAAGTAATTTTACCTTGTGCATGTATGGATTATGGTCATGATGGGTACCATGCGCATGATGTAAGTGCAACATACAACCATTGCTGCAAAAAAAAAAATCTCCAAATGCAGGGCTATTATTGTTATTATTAAAAATATTACACATAAATGAAGTTCAAAATCCAATCGCTCAAAGTTAACCAGTAAATAAACTAGAACATAACATTGCATTATCACCATTCCAAATACATCCCCCTGACCTAGATTTTCATAACAAATGTAACAAGAAAAGGATACAAATGTCCCTAACATCATAACAGCGTACTTGTAAAATATCAGAGATCTTTTATGAAAATCAAAATCATCTTTCGATTTTCTAAATTTTTTTTTTCAAATAAGGTACAGTTTCAACTTTGCGCAAAATCATCTTCTTCTTCAGCAATAATTCATTTTCCTCTTCACAATTATGTGGCTCAATACTTCAACTGATGATTTTGAAGATAGTTTCGCCCAGTAACACATAATAAAGCGATTTGGCGGACTAATATCAAAATATGAAGAATGTGAGGGACTACCTATCAAAATTCCGAAGCGAAGCTGACTCACATCTAGAAACCCCGAGGAAGAAAGAAACCGGATAAGGTTCCATTTCCGTTTCCATCTCATTCCATCATCGCCCTTCTCCAAAAAAAAAAAAAGTTCAATCCATCTCGATCGGCTTCCTCCGTACGCGCGTCGGTATTGTTTTTGGCGCGGACGACGCGCGTTATCGCCGACGAAGATGCGAGGGTGGAGATGTGGAAAGAAATCAGGGAAAGGGAATCGGGCTCCATCCTCCCCTCTTGTTTCTCCCGCCGCCTCCGATCTCGCCGCGTCTCATCTCTCGAGCTCTCCAATCGCAAGGAGATCGTCAGCCCTCACAAGGGCGCCGTCAACTCTCTCCAGGTGCCCTAAAAAAATCTATCCTTTAGGGTTTTAGCATTCTAAAGTTCGTTACTTGCTCCATGGGAGATTAGAGTTTGCTCCTGTACCGTTGATAATGAGAGAGAGAGAGAGAGAGATGTAACCTAAAAATATCTCCTTTAGTCTTATTTAGCACTCTGAATTTAACAATTCGAAGAAATCTAACAATTCAAATACAAATAAACTTCTAATCCTACTACAATTTGAAGAAATCTAACAATTCTATCATTGAATTGAAATCCAAATCAAACTCCTAGAATTTAAATTCAGACTAAACTTTAAAATTTAAATCTAGATGTCGTAATCTTCCAACAAATTTATCTATGCAGATTAGTATTTCCACAGGATGAGGACTCTTCAACCGAATTTGGATTTGACCTACAAATTATCCTACATCAATGGTTATGCCAATAAAAACAACAAGGCCTTCATTCCAAATTGTCAGTTTGACCACAGGGGTTCTTTGCTTTCATCAATTCAATGTGGTTCATCTCTTAACCACTATCCTTTCCTGGCTGTACCTCCAGTCCTCATTGCTCAATAGCTACAATGCCATTACTTCTACTGGAGCGGAAACTTTTTGATCTCTGTTGCACATATTCGATCCATCTCAACTCATTTTACCTCAATAAGGAACAACCTTTATATGGTTGCATCCATCTTCCCCCCTTCTCTCAGTCTGTTGCTATTCATTCATGTCCATTGGATTCTTTGAAAAATTTGCTTTGGAAAGGCCCTTCTTTTACTCTCCTAAGTTGTGCTTCAAGATACTATGACTATGTTGATTACTGCAACGATTTCTTTGTTATCCTCGCTAAGGAGATTAAATATTTGGATAGGCGCAAGAGACTTTTTTGTGTCCTTACATAAACGTGTTTCTTAATCTTTCTCTTGCTCGTTTTATACATTTAGGATTACTGATCAATATTCCCAGATGTAACCAAAATTTTACGAAAAAGACGCGAGTGTTGCCTCTTTTTCCTTCTGACTTAGGGCTGTAAACAGAGCGGATATGAACCGGTGCCGCCATTAGACTAGTAGATACTAGCCATGTCTTATAATTTTGGCCTTCTGTCTTTTGTTTTGATCTGGTGTGTGTTCTTTATCACGAGGATATTAGTACTGATTTGTGTTTAACAAATGTTGATATTGTGAAAGGCAACTTATTCACTTACTATGACATCTAATCAGGTAGATTTAACTGAAGGACGGTATCTGCTATCTGGAGCATCAGATGGATCTGCTGCTCTTTTTGACGTACAGCATGCTACCGACTACGAGGGAGGAGGAATGATTGCGAAGCACAAAAGTCTATTTGTTGTTGACAAGCAGCATGGGCACGGTCATAAATTTGCTATATCATCTGCTATCTGGTATCCAGTGGACACAGGGCTATTTATTACAGGCTCTTTTGATCACTATGTCAAAGTATGGGATACAAATACGACTCAAGTAGGTTACTTATCCCTCAAGCCTGTCTTATTATACAGGTCTTCTGTAATGATAAGCTTTTCCTTTATACATTTAATCTGCAGGTTGTGATGGACTTCAAAATGCCTGGAAAAGTTTATGGCGCAACAATGTCCTCAATAGCCACAACACATATGCTTATTGCTGCTGGAAGCGCAGACGTTCAAGTCCGTCTATGCGATATTGCTTCTGGGGCATTTACACATACATTATCTGGTCATCGTGGTGAGAATTTTTAACAAAAAAATTGTTGCTTAAATTTTTATGTGTACATATTTGTATATATATGTAATTTTATATGTAATTTTCAGCTTTCATTTCATGCATCAATCATAACGAAACACTTGATATTTTCATGTGCTTAAATGGATAAAAGAAGCATATAGACTTGGAGAAAACAGTTTAAGTATGCATTCTATAATTATTTATTTAACATAAATTGTGCAAAGTTGTTTAGAGTATATCATCATAAGAGTAATTGTTAAAACTTGAGAGAAATCTTGTTGTTGGGATCTGATAGTTTCTCGAAGTGTTTGTATCGATCATAAAAAGCACGGGTTCATGCATACGGCAAGACCCTAATGATAACCTGCATTTTCTGTTTGCAGGATATGTTTATTCACATGCCAAATTTCCACCCAAGTGAACTTCATCATTTGGGCCTCAATGGAGCTTGTATAGGTGTGGCTTATGGATTTGTAAACTTTGTAATTCTTAAGATTTGGAATTTCATGTCTGTAATGGAAAATACTTTAGAGTTTAACCAAATTTCCAGTTATAAATAATTACCTAATTCATAACCAAATTATTGGGGCTCCTTAAGCTCCTTAATTGGAACGCTATGAAGTGATTTCTTGTCCTTAATAACGCATTGTTCTGGGGGTAACCTGATCAATCTTAATGATGTGCAGATGATTGAATAATGGTTGAGGTAACAATCACCCTATAGACATTCGGTTCCAATGATCTCTTTATCCTTTAATAAATGTTAGTTTTTTGTGGTATTATGAGAAAAAAAGATAACTGCAAGGAGTGTTTGTAAGCATGTTTGTTATGTTTTGGTGTTTGGAGGGCATGGGGTGGAATGTTCACATGGACAACTTACGCCGAAAACAGTAAAATATAAAAAAGTTAAGTATATTAACCGTGACTAAATGAGAAGTGAGGACCAACTACTAACCATTGCCATGTGATTTGATCATGCAGTAGTGGACATGTAGCTCGTCTCTGTTTCGGGATTTTGTTTGTTTTAGCCATGCTGTCATTTGGATGTTGATGATATCTTTTTTATTGTGGGAGCTTTGAGGTGTCTGAGTCTATTACAGTGGATGATGCGTAGGCACCATTACAAATGAGACTCTAGGAGTTTTCGCCACTATATTATCAAAGAATTTGCTGAGTTATATTTTTTTGATGTCAAAACGTTTGGCAGTTGTGGCTTTTCTACATCTTGTATCAAAATCGATTGCAATAATCAATCATGATTTTGTTCAAGCTCCCTATCCTTGTTAATCAAGATCTGATGATATTATATTCCACAGACTATTAACAGTGAAAGATTCCCTCTATATTTTGTCTTAACAACATGGTTTTATAGAAAATGTAAAAACTATATTAAATTAAAATACATGGCTCATCAAAGTATTATAGTCGTGTTTTTACAGGTTAGGTTACACCTTCTTTGAATGTTGTTTTTAGTTGAGTATTTAGTAATTAACATTTTGAAAATTAAGTAAACTGGAGTGTTTGATTCTGCAATATATGTAGGTCGGTTTAGACATTAGCCCAAAGATGCTTCATTTGTATGTCATGTCTATGATGGCAGATGGAGTTATGACTCTGGAATGGTCTACCTCTAACGAGTGGATTTTGGTTACTGGGGGTTGTGATGGCGCCATACGTTTTTGGGACATAAGACGTGCAGGATGTTTCCTTGTTTTAGATCAATCAAGATCTCAGCTTGGGAGACGCCCACCTTTCTTGGAAAGCACATTGAAGAAAGTATATTCTTATCCTTTTTCAATTGTTTTACTTCCAGTATTATATTTTTCTGTCAATGCATTCTGGAATCAGTAGTGCGCTCTTGCACATCTACATTTTCAGGTAGTGTTTTTGGGTAGCATATTTTACCAATCACCATACTACAGTTTTTTCTATAGACATCCTTCCGGTACATTTTTTCCAGATGCAAACTATGTTCAGATCACTCACATTCTTTTAGTTGGGAACAACTGAGCTAAATGTTGGTCTAGCTCTGATCAATTACCTGTGAAGTCCATTGGCTAGGATCATAGCTTATTCCTTTTTCTCGTCTATACAGTTTAGTTTAATTTTTTTTATTAACATATGCTATATACACGCCTTTTATCCACTATTCAATTCCTTTTTCTGACCTCTGATATCTATTGTGGATTAATCATATTTGTTAAGTCTAATAGATATGAATTTGTAAGGGACTATGCCTTAGAAAATGTTGATGCATGACAACATCAGAGAATTAAAGATAAAACCCATCATTGTATCTTATTGGAGAGTGATAATTCATTTTGTATTGAGAAAATTAGTTTAGGATAGATATTTCATTTTGAGTTTAGATTGGATATTTGATTTGAGCTTAGGATTAAGTATCTTATTTTGATATGGGATTAGTTAATAGATTGAAGTTTGAATATGAGCCTATTAGGTCTATTTAAATTTAAGAGAAGTTATATGATTTGGAATTTGAATTTCCATCATTACTGGTTTATTGCCATCTTGTCTCCTGTCAAGTATGTTTATGCTTGTTTCTGACTGTTTTGCCTTTTCTTTTCCAATGATTGCAGCGAACAGTATCCTAATTTATTATTTCATATTGTTCAACTAAGAATTAGAGAGTTTCTTTGCTTAGCATTATAGCATCTTATTGCTTTCTGAATATAGAACTGGAAGAAATTGTTGCAGTTCGTTTTCGGATCTTTATTTGGCATCTGTTGGCTTAGCAGGGTTCTGTAACAAGGAAACTTCATGCAGGACAATCAGTTTCTGCAAAGACCAATGGTCAACCAAAAAAGATGTCAGCCCTTCACAGAGGTAACACTTCAACCAGAGGGTCTGTGGTGCAGAGAGTACATCCTGGTATGTTATCCAGTCATAATCGTGCGACTGCTCATTACGGTGCTGTGACTGGACTGAAAGCAACTAGAGATGGCATGTACCTTCTGAGTTCAGGTTAAGTTGCATTTGGATTTTTTAAATCCGTAATTGAGCTATCAAATAAGTTAAAAAACGTGTATTAATTTACTATTTCAATTTGCACCTATCAAAGAATTAAAAGAATTATAGAAATAAGTTCAAGCGTCCTGATCCGCCACCCCAATCTTTCCACGCAAAGAGTCATCTGCAAATAGGAAATGTGACAAGGTGGGACAGTTTCTGGCCAACATTATTCCAATTACCGATATTGATAGGAACATGTGGCAGAAGTGAGGGCTTCCCTTTAAAGAAGCCCGAACTGTACTGGAAGACTTGGTTTGCGTGCCTGATCTTGACCTTCTTTCTGCGTTATGGCTATTAATCTTATTAGAGTCAGTAGCTTTGAATCTAGCCCCGAACCTTTCCCTCGCCGGGGGTTCACAACGGGAAACTACATAGCAAGTAAAAGTAAATTGACATGAATTTTCCATCATTTCTCAGAAAACTACCATGGAGTTTATCTTTTTGTATGGGTAACTTTTAATAGATTAATATGAATTTTCATCATTTTCTCAGAAAACTACCGTGGAGTTTATCTATTCCAAGTAGTTACCATGAACTTTAACGTTCATTGATGGTAGTCATGGCACTTCGCTAAATATTCTAGTAGTTCTCTGAGAAAACAGTAAAATTTCATGATAGTTTTTTAACTTCACACAAAATGAAGGATGCCCAATAGTTGCCCTGGTCAAGTTTTTGGGATGTTTTCCTCTTAAGCTAAACCTCGATAAATTTCTCTGACCTTTCCTATTGGTACTGTTTACTTCCATGTTGATGCTCTGAGAATGTTGTTGTAGTTAATAAAACTTATGTAGGGTCTTATTCTTGCCTTGAAGTATTGAAGGTTTTATTTGTGCTGTAGATGGTGGTACCATTCTTATTTGATTATCTTGTCAGTAGCTTGAGCTTCAATAGCGCACGAGCTTTATTCCATTTTTATGTAGTTCTGACCATATTATTACCTGATGTTGTCCTCTGGACTTGGGCTTTCACATGCACTGGTTAAGCACCTCTATTCAATTATTAACTAAACTTCTGTTCCCAGGCTCCGATTCAAGATTAAGATTGTGGGATATCGAATCTGGCTGCAATACATTAGTCAACTATGAAGCTATGCGCCTACAGACAAGTAAAGCTTTACAGCTAGCTATCAATGAGGATTCTTCACTTGTCTTTGTTCCATGTATGGCAACAGTCAAGGTGCCTTATCCCCACTACTGTTGCTTGTATTTTGAGGCCTCAAAGACACTGTTTTGCTGAATAAACTTTGAACTTTTTATTTTGGTTTCCTTCCCTGTTTTAAGGCATATGATATGTGGTCTGGTATGATGTATCGGACATTCCGTGGTCACTATGAGGCGGTGAACTGCTGCTGTTTTAGTTCGCAAGATCAGGTGAATATTCATTTGTCCTCCTCAGTTGTTTGAGTTTGATAGATGTACTGATGTTTAGTTTCATGGCCATGCAGGAATTGTACACAGGGAGCAATGATAGAAAAGTGCTCATTTGGTCACCACCAAATNCCCCCCCCCCAATATATATATTTGAACATGCCATTTTGGTGATTTTCATTCATTATGGTCTGAAATTTATTACCCATGACCGAGATCCTCAGGGCTTATTGCCTCATAAATTTATTTGAAATTTGAGATAATGCTGTTGAAATAGCTGCCTCAGAAGGCAAATATCTTGTATTTTCTGTTTAAAACGGAGACTGCTGGAACATCTTTATCAGAATGTAGGTTAGATTCTGTTTCTAGCTAGATATTAGATGGCCTGCCGTCAAATTATATACTCACATAAATGAGTTTATGCTATAAGAATGCTGTTCATGAGATACAGTGCCAAGTTCATAAGATAGAAAATGACAGCCCTGTGCAAATTGTAGCAGAAACCTGGCATTGATGCAAGCATGAACGAAATGACTGCCCTCATGCACTCATTTATCTGATTCTTTTATGCAGGAAGGAGATGGCTCTCTAGAGGAAGATCGTGATAATTGGAGCGACTAGGCTTTGTCGAATCCTCTTTTGCAATTAATTACGTCTAATATCTGTAAATTTATGTGTCTATATTTGTTTGGTTCATTCGGAATTTTGATGTAATCAGAGTTCCATCTTTTGAAAATAGGAGGACTTCACATTTGTCTTCGCTTTCTAATCGTATATTTGTACTGGCTTGAATACATATTTGACAACATATGTATCGAAGGTGAAGTAAATGTCAGATTGCAGGCGTTTCTCTTGGACATTAAATCATGATTCATGAATACCTTTGTGTTACATACATACTTCTACCAAGCGTTTTCTAATGTAATATTTTGTTGTCAATTATTTCGGGGATTTGAAAGTTTGTAGATTTGATCACTGGATATCCTGTTGTCTAGGGATATCATCGAGTGAATTATGCATTTCCTCTAGGATTTATATCCAACTATTTGACATGCTTCTTAGGATGAGCAAGCCCTGTCCGTCGATCTTCGAGCAGGTTCAAATTTGAGTATCTTGATTTTAGTGTTTCACCTGAGAATTCTTTTTTCACCAGAGTGAGTGTCATGGATACAAAGAGTCTGATTTGCATCACCATTACTGAATGCATGAGCGTCGACATGCAATTATGGAGAGTTTCAGGCGGATTTGTGTCAAGAACGTAGGCAACATCCTAATTGTTGTGGGGTATTCATTTTGCTCTCTTTCTGAAAATTTCACATGTTATAAGGTACTCCATAGAGTGCTGCTACGGGGACCCAAAATATGGGACCAATGGAGGGGACATGTGAGGTGTCCCCACCCTATTGCATAATGAGTTGGCATGAGTTGGCATGACCAACTCATTATGCAATAGGGAGGGGACACCTCACCTGTCCCCTCCCTTGGTCCCATATTTTGAGTTCTTAAATCATTTTTCTGAATTTCAATTCAACGCACTCAAATTAACTGAGCGGGCCCTGCTGATAACGGTTCAACGAATGGTCATGAGCAAATACCAGGCAGCATATCTACAGAGGAGGGGACCATCTTCCCTCTCTCTCTCGCGCTCATCCTGGTGCCGATGGCTTCAGTTCTCGTGAGCCCTTTTCTCTGCAGCAATCCACCTCTAGCACAAGCAGAGCACGCGGCTCGCCTGCGACCGAGGCGTCGTCGTCGCCTGAGACGGATCCGTTGCGTGAAGGCGAGCGAGGTTGAAGAAGGGAAGAGAGTTGTGGTGGAGAGCGGGGCGGATTCGCTGGAGATATGCAGAGTCGTGAACGGGATGTGGCAGACGAGCGGCTGGGGGGAGATCGACGGCGGTAGAGCCGTGGAGTCGATGTTGCGGTACGCGGATGCAGGGCTCGCTACCTTCGACATGGCCGATATCTGTAAGTTCTCGGTCATTCTCATATTAGTGTTGCAACGTGAGGTCTATTCTACGCTAGCAGCATACATTTGGACTTTCTGGGGGAAAAACGTCAAACAAGAAGCATGACAGGTGGGGAATTGATATCGTATGTAAATGATTAGAATATCAGTTCAAACAGAATATCGCAATACCACACGTGGTTCAAGACTAGGGGTGCATTCGGTCCGGATACGGCTCGGATATGATGCTTACCATATCCATATCCGCTTACCCATCTCGGATACGGATACGGATACGGATATACCTCGGTAAGAAAAACTTATAACCATATCCGCTAAAATCGGATACGGTTACGGATATACATGCGGATATATAAGCGGATATGCATGCGGATACAAAACAGATATGAGAAAACTAGATAGTATTGAGAAAAACATAGTTCATGTGATACAAAAAAGTTCGTTAATATGTCCATTATAACTAAATAGTTAAGATTAGTCAACTTGATCATCAAAATTAACCACAAATCCATAATCTAAGAATCGAAACTATCGTAAGAGTATGACTAATATGTATTCGGATATTTCGGATACGGATACGGATATTTCACTACAAAACCATATCCATAACCATATCCTATCGGTTATAGATTTGAGTAACCATATTCGTATCCTAACGGATACGGCCTCCCACTCGCCGCCGGCTACCGCAGACGAATCCTTCAAAATTGGAGCGAAAGTTGTGGACTTCTTGCTAGCTCGCATCATCTTCTTTGAGTTGATGAAGATGTGAAGATTGCGATGGAGCTTAGATCTCTGTAATAGCAGGGGGGAGGAAGTTGGGAATAGCAGGGGGGAGGAAGAAACAAAGAATAAAAGAATATTTTTTATGGGGGAGGGTGAGCCTTCGTTTGATTGAGGCCAGCTGGAGGTGATTTTTACAAAAAACACCCTGCAGCTCGCACAAAGGATTAAGTGCGCACGCATTGATCCGTATATATATGAATACTCTCTCTTATATATGTATAATGTATGTATGTATGTATATATATACTCTCTCTCTTAGTATATATGTAT